GTAGACATAGCTGAATACTGGTAAATGCTTTTAACTGTTGGTTTTCGAATCTGGAAACAACAAAGTCGAATCTGCAAGGTGGTGTGTTAATGTGGGTGACTTGTAAGAGGTGAGCAAGAAACAAAAAATCTATGTCGTGTTTGCTTAACACTGTCTTAAAAGCATTTACGCCCAGGGTAAGTATTTCTGCGTGTATGAACTCAGGCCAAGGTTTCTTGGCATTTTCTCCTACGAACTGGAAAGATATAGTGAAAGATGTAACAGCCTATCTATTACCATCCAAAATTGTGGAGAGAGACCAGGAAGATGTGCGCATGAGCCGAGCAGGCGGGCAGCGACGGCGACGCGCGTGGGATTTCTCCCTTATTCCCTCTCCATAAGATGAGATAACAGTGATCTGAATTGATTGAATGAATTACAGAGAGAGAGTCTAAGCTATATTAAAGTCTACACATTATTCTCCTATCCTGTAGGCTAGAGACTTAGACTAAACCTCAACCACTAGAAATACAATCATATAGTATAAAATAATAGACAAACTAATTACATCATATAGTTTACGATTTATCGGACACCCAGCCCAATCCGAGTCGGAGTAGGCGTGCAGGTCTGAGGAAGCCGAAGACGTAAGTCGTAACCCATAGTCTTGCGTGCCTTTAATGCACCGTAAGACCCTTTTAAGCAAAGCCCAGTATTCTGTGGTCGGCGCGTGCATAAACTGGCATAACTTGTTGACTGAGTAGGCAAGATCCGGACGGGTGATAGTCAGATACTGAAGGGCCCCTACAATCCGACGATACTAAGTGGGATTCTCGAACGGATCAGAAGAGGGTGTAACCGGTTTCGTGACGGCTGCTGGAGTGGCCAGAGCTTTACAGTCAGTCATCCCGAAGCGTATGAGAATGTCCTTCATGTACCGCCGCTGAGAGAGAACCAGGGTGTCCCCAACTGGTAGAGTCTCAATACCTAGGAAGAACCGAGGTTGTCCAAGATCTCTAATCTTGAATGTCATGGAAAGCTGTTGAAGCAATGCGGTGACGAGATCTGAGTCATTACCTAGCATGATGATATCATCTACATACACTAGGAAAAAAACTCGTTACGTCCCAGAAGTGTAGTGAAAAAGGGACACATCTGTTTTCGAGGCACAGAACCCGGTGGTAATTAGGAAATCATGTAGCCGTTTGAACCACGCACGTGGTGCCTGCTTCAACCCATAAAGCGACCGCTGGAGCCGACACACATGATTTGGTTGTGTTGGATCTTCGTAGCCGGGGGGGCTGCTTCATATATACCGTTTCGGAAAGATGGCCATTTAGAAAGGCATTGTGTACATATAGTTGACACATAGTCCACCTGTGTGATAGAGCAAGAGAAAACAATATGCGAACAGTGGTGGGTTTGACCACTGGACTAAACGTGTCAAAGAAGTCTTCGCCGGCAACTTGATTGAACCCTTTAGCAACAAGTCGTGCTTTATAGCGTTCCACCGAGCCATTGGCTTTACGCTTGGTGCGAAAACCCCACTTACAGCCGATGATGTTCATGTTCGGTGTGGCTGGTGTGAGCTCCCAGGTACTATTGTGCAAGAGAGCATTGAACTCTTGGTCCATGGCCTCACGCCACTCTGGGTGACCAACAGCTTGTGAGTAACAAGTTGGGTTAGTAGATGCAGTTAGGGCGTAGAACTCCACGTTCGTGCCCTGAGTTTGGCGCCTCGTGCGCATGACATGAGGAACAATAACCTTGCCACGACCTCGGGTGGCTTTGGCCCGTCGAGCCGGTGGTTCTGTCCGTGTATTGATGGGCGAAGTAGGCGGAGCAGCTATAGCTAAAGGCCTTGGCACTTGTGCTATAGGCAATTCCACAGAAAGAGGCGTGGATTGGGAATCCACTATTATTGGCCCAGACCCCCATGGTGGAGTAGGTGGGCTAGCTGCAACCTGTTCATCAGACTGCATAGCAAAGGGAAAAATGGACTCATCAAATCGGACATGCCGACAGATAAAGACTTTTCCCGTAATTGGATCTAAACAACGGTATCCCCTATAAGAAACTGGGTAACCTAAGAAGACACAGGGCATCAACCGGTATTCCATCTTGTGCCGATTATAAGGGCGCAGATAGGGATAGCAGCGACACCCGAACACACGAAAGAAAGTGTATGGCGGTTGTGTTTTGTATAGACGGAAATAAGGACTCTCATTGTTTATAGCGGAAGATGGTAGGGAATTAATTAAGTACGTTGTAGTTTCGAACGCACAGTCCCAGTATATTGTAGGAGTTGAGCTTTCAACAAGTAGTGCTAAGCCGGTTTCGACGATATGTCTATTCCGACGCACAACTCGCCCATTTTGCTCATGTGTATAAGCACATGACTGACGATGAATGATCCCGAGAGACTCAAAAACTTTGTGCAGACGGCGGTATTCACCCCCTAGATCAGACTGGATGGCGATGATAGAACGGGAAAATTGACGTTCTACCATCGCCCGGAACACATCAAAAACTTTATAGATATCTGATTTTAACCTTAACGGATAAAACCAGGAAAATCGAGAGTGGTCATCCACAAATAGTACAAAATAGCGGTAACCTGAAGCACTAATTACAGGAGACGGACCCCAGATGCCCGTATAAAGTAAATCCAATACATTATTACTAGTGCTCAAAACTCTATTTAAAGGAAATCGTGAGGATTTGCCTAATTGACACGAAGTACAAATTTTTGACAAACTAGTTTTATTGTTGACCACCGGACAGTGTTTCAGGACTCTTTGTAAGGCTTGATTATGAGGATGACCAAGGCGTTGATGCCAAACTTCGGAGGACGCACGCGCGGATAAAAAGGCACATGGTGACTGGGGAACCAATAATTTGTACAGTCCTCCCGATGTAGACCCTTTAAGCAGAACCACTTGAGTTTTGCAATCCTTCACAAGAAATAGATTTTTGTGAAACTCAAAATAAACATCGTTTTCATTTGTAAAACGATATACAGATAATAATGGCAATGTTAAATTGGGAACACAGAGAATATTTGACATAGACAAAGACTTAGAATTAGACGGGATAACCGTGTGTCCAATACGAGAAACGTCCAAACCTGTACCGTTTCCAATTTTGAGTACATCCCCGCCGGTATATGTCTCAGAATGATGCAACATCTGCTCGTCCGGGGTTGCATGCGATGAGGCTCCGGTGTCGGGATACCAAGCATCCGCACCATGGACAGTGGACTCGCCGGAAACAACAACATTCGCGTGGCCGGTCGGACGATCTGCGTAGCGTTTGTAACAGTAAAGAGCAGTGTAGCCATGCGACCTGCATATTTGGCAGCGAGGTCCGCCACCACAGCCCTGCCGACCGCCATTCTGTCCACTCCTGCCGCCGCCCTTGACCGCCGCGGTTGGTGTGCTGCTGTTCGCCGTGTCTCCCACGCCCAGCGAAGAATGCAGCCGGCACTCCTCCATCTCCATATGACTCACCCACTGCAAAATCATCCTCATGGATGAACTCTTGGGCTTGGAGGAAATCGGAGAGCTGCGTCAAGGTTACTGGTGCGCCGGTGGCAGTGAGCGAATTCGCCATTGTGCGAAACTCTGGGCGTAGACCGCGGAGAACATACAAGATCTGCTCTTCATTGGACAGCGGTTTGCCGGCAAGCGAGAGGGCCTCGGCGATCATCTTGCAGTGTCCGAGGTAGTCGGCCGGTGAACCTGGGCCTTGGCGGAGGTTTGGAATTGCCCCAGTAAGCTCAGGCACCTCGCTCTCGTCGTGGAAGCTAGCGTAGACGCAAGGGAGTCCCACACCTAGCAGGAGGTTTCACGTCCAACGGCAAGATGCATCACCTCGTCGGATAGTGACGAGATGATCGTGGAATCGTGGATAGGATGGCCTGATCCTGTTGAATCCACACGTTGTAGGCGGGATTCGGTGCAGTGGTTGCCGCCGTCACAGTGGAGGAGCCGGATTCTGGAGTGACGGTGATGGTGGCAACCGGACATGGCCTGGAGCCATCGAAAAAACCAAGCAGCCCATGCCCACGCAAGAACGGAACTACCTGAGTGCGCCAAAATAAATAGTTCCGCATGGTAAGCCAAGTGGAAACGAAGTGGTGCGCCGCAGTGAGAGTATTGTCCGACGGTGGAGAACCGGCAGGAGCAGTGGTGATGGTTCTTTCGGAGGAGTTGGTCGACATCTCAATTCTCGGGATTGTTTGAACAAAAGAGGGCTAACCTATCGCAACTGATACCAGATGAGATAATAGTGATCTGAATTGATTGAATGAATTACAGAGAGAGAGTCTAGTCTAAGCTATATTAAAGTCTACACATTATTCTCCTATCCTGTAGGCTAGAGACTTAGACTAAACCTCAACCACTACCACTAGAGACTTAGACTAAACCTCAACCACTAGAAATACAATCATATAGTATAAAATAATAGACAAACTAATTACATTACTAACACATAACACTTCAAGTTTTCTAAAAAGACTTGGTATATAAAAGATGGGAAGAAGTAGGTTAACCAAGCAGTGTGGGACATATGGAAAAGAACAAATTCAATGAATGCCTCATTAAATGTTCCAACATGGCCTACTTTAGCTATGAGCCTATGACTTCTGGGATGGTAAACACTATTGCAATGATTATATGCCAAGAAAAAAATACAGAATAAAAAGGAGAGAAATGGGAAGAAAAACGCAAAGACCACCTTTTCATTAGTTCTATGATTAATTAAATTTAATTTGTAATGAAAATGTTTTATTATAAAAAAATTGCAATTAAAATTTTTATTACTTTTTTTCCACGTTACATCTACTTTAAAATTGAAATAGGTCACTGATTTAAAAAAATTGTTTTATTAAAAAAAAAAAAACCAAATATGTAATGATAGATAACATTTGGTTTGGTATATGATTATAATTGAAGCACGAAAAATACAAATAATTATGAGTGGTAAATAAAAAAATTAACATTTTTTTCATAAAGTTTTTATCCCGAAGTGTGGTTGTTACTACGACCCCAAGAATTTTTGCAAATAACAGGTTCGGTCCACTGGAAATTTCGGTTATGGGCTCCATCGTTCCCTGAGTCTCTATAAGCCTTCCAATCGCTCAGCACATTTCTGAGATCCACAACCTTGGCATTAACGCTCCGACAGCAGTTGGCGTGGACGGTGGCGACCGCCGCGGCGTCTTTGGCGTTGGTGCAGAAGCCGCTAAAGTATAGGACGTCTAAGTACCTGCTGAAATTAACGAGAATAAGAAACAATAACAATGGTAGAAAGTAAAGAATGCAAGATTTATGTAGTTTGACAATGTGTTTATGTTTATGAAAGTAAAATTATTTTTTTATTAATTGTGATGGTGATATAAAGAAATAAAATTACGTCTTCTCTAATTGACGATAACTAATGTTGTAAAAGACGCTAGGCGCTAGTCGAGCGCCTGGGGGATAACTAGCGCCTAGGCACCGTCTAGGCGAACGAGCAATAGTAGTAAAAAAAACACAATAGTGTGCACATTGCACAACTAAAGAAAAAACACTTGGTCGCGTTAGCAGACTCGGGAGCTGAGTTTGGCTGACTCAACATTTGGCCTAATCGGCCGACTATTATCCACCTAATTAAGGATAAAATCACCTCGGTCTAGACAGCCGCCTAGGTCGATTTTTGCAACAATGGCTATAACTACGCTTAATCTAACCAGCGATATCAGAGCCAATTAAGACTGACAGGTGCTGGGAGGGAAAAATTATGGGATGGAGGTCGATAAAGGACCACATCTATCAATTGGTGGATAGAAGAAAATTTTTGACGCAGTGATAAGTGCTTGATCTAACCGTACCTGACAACAAGCCCCATCTCCTTGAACACTCCATCTCGTTTCATGAAGGCCAGGATGTCTTGCTCTTTCATTTTGGCCGGGTAGTTGTTCCTCATGTCGTACCATGTTTGGAACAAGTTTATGGTTTTCTTGTTTGATCTTACGTAGTAGAAGCCGGTGTTAATGGGATTGGAGGTGGACCAGGGGTCCCCTGTGAATATGTCTGTGCTTATCTGCATATCCTCTGTGCTATTGCTGCTCAGCCTTGTGAATGGATTCCTCAGCCAAATTATGTCTGTGTCCTGCCAAAACATACTAATTATATTATAATGAGTTAATACCTTAATTTAGTCTTCGACTATAATATTTTTTTCGATTTAGTTCTAATTGTCTTTTTAGAGAAAATTACACTTTTGGTCCTATGACTATTGAGATTTTGTTAATTTCAGTCCACGACTTTAAAAACTAACAGTTTAGTACCGTAATTATGTAATTTTTAACACATTTGGTCCACCCGGCCAAATCACCGGCCAAATGTTACCGGAAAAATGTAAACCATTTTTAATTATTAATTTAATCATGGGGTAAATTGGTCATTTCAAGTCATTTTCTTCTTCTTCCTCGCACCTGCTGGCCGGAATTGCAGCAAGACGCACCGGGACAGCCTGGTCGGGCAGGCGTTGTTCGGCGACGGATCCCAGGCCACCAACTCCGAGAAGCCGTTGTTCTAGCTCGTCTATGCCGCGCAAACGCTGGCCCCTGACAGCTGCGGCGCCATCGACGAGCACCTCGGGAATTGGGCCGGGGCTCACGTTCCATTTACTCAAGGACGTCCATCCTTAGTCTCAAAGAACATCGAGAAATGCTTGTCGGAAGCATTCAATCCTCTTGGCATTTTCGACTGGAACTCCATTTTCTGGATAGCGTGCAATTCCGGCCAGCAGGTGCATTGACTTCAATGGTTACCTAATAAGTTAATACCTAATTTAGTCATCTAATATAGTGATTTTTTTTTTCAATTTAGTCCTAAATATCTTTTTGTGTTTAATTGCGTCCTCTGTAACTGTAGCTTGGTAATTTTTCCTCTATTAATAACCAATTTAGTCTTTGACTATCGTGATTTTATCCAAATTAGTACTCGATTATAGTGGTTAATACTCAATTTAGTCATGACTATAATGATTTTTTTTTTCGATTTAGTAAATTGAATATTAACTCATATTATAATCTATATTGTTAAACATGTTTTCCTCCTCAATTATAGGGGCATTCACTTTCCACTTAGCTTAGTCATTCTCAAAACCGTTATTTTTACTCAAATATGTTAACTATTTATGATTGATATTCAAAACCCTAAAAATATTAGGCTTTTTGGAAACATTAAATAAATGTTTCAATATCATGTTCGTTTAATCTAAACGCACGAAATAAATAGGAATAAGGATCAAATAGGCCACTGAACTGTACACCAAACTATAATTAGACCATGAAACTTAAAAAAGATGCAATTAGATCCCTGAACTACACAAATTTATGCAGTTAGGTCTAAAATGACCTGTTTACCTGCTATGTAGGTTGCGAATTTTAAAAAATAAGTTTTAAAATAATTTTAATCAAAAAATTAATTAAAAAAAAGAAGAAGAAGAAGAAGAAGAAGAAGAAGAACGGCCAAAGACGAAATCGTCTCTGGCCGTCCTTCGTCTCCATGGCTGGAGACGAAGGTCTTCGTCACCAGCCATGGAGGGCTGAAGATGATCTTCACCTCCTGCCAGGGAGACGAAGAGACCTTCGTCTCCTGGCCATGGAGACGAAGGGTCTTCGTCTCCATGGCAGGAGACAAAGATCATCTCCATAGCCGGAGACGAAGTTCTTCGTCTCCGGCCATTCTGTTTTTTTTTTTTTTTTTTTTTTTTGTTTAAAATTATTTTTAAAATCCACAACCTCCATGTCAGCAAAGTATTAGGTAAATAGGTCATTTTAGACCAAATTGCATTAGTTTGTGTAGTTCAGGGACCCAATTGTACTATTTTTGAGTTCGATGGCCTAATTGCAACTTGGTGTGCAGTTCAGTGGCCTATTTGACCCTTATTCCAAATAAATAAGATAATTTCTCTCAATTTTATTTTTGTTAATCCTAATTGCATGTCCAAAAAAATTTTGGATAACTTATTTGTTTTATTTTGTACCTTTGAATTAAAAGAATGATGACAGTGTTAGATTTAATTCCTGATTTTTTTAACCCTCATTTTTTTTATGATTTTGGAGGCCTAAGGTATATACTTAATGGATCTGGATTAACATAGCTACCTAGGGGATGATTAAAAATAACAAGAAAAAAAGGGCCAAACAGGTCAATACATGCAATTTATATCGTGGACCAGAATCCATATAACATTGTGTACGCTGAATCAAAACAACCTCGTTTTGATCTTTAAATTTTAAAGGACTCTCAGTTTCCTGTTCCTCTGTTTACACACAGTTATAATATATTCCAGGTACTTACGTTGTATATACTAAGAATCGTCATTGTATATACTTAAAATATTTAGGATTTAGGAATAAAGATTAAATTTTAAATTAAAGCAAGATATCCGTGAAGAAAAAAAAAAAAAAAAAAACAGTACCGTGAAGATAAAGTTGTAACCGCGTTTAAGAACATCCAGGAGGAACAGCGTCCTCCGCCACATCATATTAATAAAATCTTTGGACATGAAAAGCTTCTCGCCGGAGAAATCGACGCCGCCGGCGCCGTCCGTATTCAATTCGTAGCAGTGGAGCCGCCGGAAAACGCAGCGTTCGTAGGCGGTGTGATCCATGGCAACCACCAGCAAGTGGTCCAGCAACGGCCGAGTCCCTTCCCCCTCCCAGAAACCCTCCAGAAAAAGATCCAACATGGAAGGGTTGTCGTCGCTGACGGGCTCCACATACGCCCTATTGATTACGGTTATGATGAGTGTGTTGGACGCCATTGAAGCCTTCCTCAGAGCCGCATCGAGGTTATCTCTCGCCGGCGAAACAGGCGAGTATGGAGCCCAGGTACAGAGATACAGAATGGCGGCTAAGGAGAAAGCGAGCAATGTGAGTGTTGCGATGTTTTTCTTGCCGTGCCCCATTTTTGATGTCTTCATCTTGATCAATATTATATTTTGGTGTGGTGTGGTGTGGTGTTTGCAGGATATAAAAGTTATTGCTCAGCTGGTATTGAAGTATATATATATGTTCATGTTTCCGTGCCGACAGTGTTTTCGGTGCGGTCGTGTTGGTATTAGGTATGCATAAATGTACTGCAAAGTGTTCAGAAATGCACCATTAGGTAAGTTGCGGTGTATTTCATTGTGGTACATTAGAGTTAATTCCACCGGAGGTCCTTTGTCTTTAGTGGCAATTCCAAATTTAGTCTCAGACTATCGTTTTTGTCATTTTACATTCTAGACTCTTATTTTTTGGACATTTTTAGTCCTTCTCATAATTTTTTATATTTTTAGTAATGGTATTTTTGTCTCTTCATATTTTTCTTCTGTTATTTTTCCGGTTTCAACCCGTTTAATTGGTTTAGGGTTTAGGGTTTAGGGTAAAGTCCTAAACCAATTAAACTGGTTGAAACCGGAAAAATAGCAAAAGAAAAATATGAAGAGACAGAATTGTCCTTACTAAAAATAGAAAAAATTATGAGAAGGACTAAAAGTGTCCAAAAAACGATAGTCTGGGATGTAAAATGACAAAAACGATAGTTTTAAACTAAATTTGGAATTGCCATCAAAGACAATGGACCTCTGGTGGAATTAACTCTTTTTAAATACTATGTGGTTCATTTATGGTCCAATTGAAAGTCAATGATTAAAATTAGTAAATCTCAATAGTCATACGTACCATTCTTGGAATTAACTCTAAATTTAAATCAAAGTAATTTTTGTTGGGTATACCCAGGGTTTCCACTGTCAGACACAGTGACTAATCTCTTGCTGAATTATAGATACTTCTTTTGGGTGGGACAATTGGCCTAGAGATTTAATGTTGCTCCATTCGCAAAGAAAAAATAGCATTGATTTTCTGTATCTGTTGCAACTTGAATGCTGCAAATTCTGGCTAATCTTGCTAACAAAATATCTCAAATTTTCATAAAATTGAGCAATTATTAAAACCCCATTATGGTAGTTGAAGATGTTGATATATAAATTAAGTAATTAACCATTCATAAATCTCTAAATTGAAATTATTGAATACATTGAACCGTAAATACCATTACTTTAATAAGTCTAGTCATTAAAGTTATTATTCTGTGATTAGTGCACAGGGAAAAAACAACTAACCAAATCTTATATATAATACAAATTATCTACTTGCCCCCACCCCACCCCCCCCCCCCACCCAAAAAAAAAAAAAAAATCAAGGGAAATAAATCATATATGTGTCTTACATTTATATTCAAATAATATAATTCTTGAAGTAATCATAATACTTCTTCACTAATGATTTGTGTGACTCAACATATTGCTCCTAGATATAGCATGCATGTTGTTCTCCCAAAAGGTTGAATATCCAATCCCAATGGATCCCCATATCTTGACCCGACAAAGTATTTGGGAGAATTTAAATCACAGTGACTCAATGACTCAGCAAATAGGGCCAAATGTCGGTGAGTACAAGGGATCTATCCACTTTGGACATAATCTACACAATGTCGCTGCCGATATTCGAACCTTGATCTCTTCTCAAATAGTGTCTATTGAACCAGTGAGCTAAGCTCGTGAGGCCCAGATATAACATGTTAAGGAAGGAGAGGGATACACAATCTTATGTTTATTCCAATAAATTTATTTAAAATTTTTATAAAAAAAATCCACAGAGTGACCAATGTACCAAACTATACTTATTGGAAGATTACAAAATTATTTTTATAGCAAATGACATACATTCTTCTTACCAACTTGTGACCACATCAATTAATTCATAAATAATCAATGCATATAATGGGTTAGACTATCCTTACCCAGTTATCCCGCAAATCTCTCTCAATTTTAAAAATAGGTCTCACTCTCACATCACCCATTTTTTAAATTATTTACTATTTATATCACATCCCTGCAAATCCAATCAATTTTCAAAAGTGTACTCCAATTTCACATCACTTTAAAAATTTAATATCTTTTCTTAATAAATATTATTTTCTCTACAACATTATTAACTTATATCAGTATATAAATTACATTTAAATATTAAAAATAGAAATATTGAAAATCCAAAAACATAATATTTATATAAATTACTTTTAAATATTAAAAATAGAAATACTGAAAATCTAAAAACGTAATTTAAAAAAAAAAAACAATTTAAAAAATTTGTATGCATTGTATGTTGGGTAATATGGTTGAAAATTCCCAAAAAATAATAATCCTACGGAAAGATTAATATTATATGGGAAAACAGAAAATTGGGAAGGAAAAGGTTGAGTGTTTGGGTAGGGATTTAGCACGAGTTCGAACACGAAGTTCTTTTCCTTAAAACCTTATTTGCTACCTCCCACAAGTGCTAGGAGCGTTGTAGCCTAGGTTTCCCAGGATAAAACGTGCTACGATTCCTTGTTTAAGCACCTAAACAAGGAACCTGGCAAACAAAGCGAGGCTGGAACACTGGTTGGCTAAAAGAAGAGAGTAGAGGCAGAGTTTTGAGATAAAAAACTACTGGAATTCCTTTTGTTTTTCACTGTGTAAAATGCTACTGCTTCTACCTCTCTTTATATAGGGATGTTGGAGTGATAGCATTCAACATGGCCATTAAATTGGTGTTAAAACCAATTGTGTAACACCTGTAACGGTCACCACTAAGTAGGATTAAACTCAGAATTTAAAAATTGGAATTAAAACAGTATTAATTCCGTAACAGATGAGTTTAATCTTCTGCACTTTCGGGTTTCAGACCGTTGGGGTGCACGAGAGTGTTCACACTCTCGTGCTGTGGTACACCACGAGAGTACACCTCTCGTTCTATGGTGCAATACGAGAGTACACCTCTCGTGTTCACCGTTGCACGAGAGTTTTGCTCTCGGTGCACCACTACCTCTCGTGCTCTCTGTAGCACGAGAGTGGTGTTAGTGGTGTTTTCGGTTTTGGCCGAGCCATGCACCACAACCTCTCGTGCTCTCTGTAGCACGAGAGTGGTGTTCTCGGTTTTGGCCGAGCCAAGTGACTATAACAGATGGAAAATGACACCGAAGTTAGGCATAACTTAGCCCGCAAGGCCAGCCCATTTCCGGACGACATTCGTGCCCGCAGGTGCCGGCGCACGCGAGCTCGGGCTTGATTTCAAGCCTTTTTGATGTCCTCTAGTTGGATTTTGATTTGCATTAAATGGCATATTAAGTGGCTATTTTGTGGTACAATTATCAGTGGGGTCCACTTCCAATAATCCCCCACATGAATGAAAATTGATTTTCGGGGTAGTTTTAAAACGGAAACAACTGTGTTCAACGGTCGATCACTGCATAGGATAGGTAGGGTCACACCCTTTGAACCTTCCCTCGTGAAGATACATTTACTCTACTTGCTGTACGGTAGAACGCGATGTCTTTGAACCGACTGCCGTTTGTGTAGACGATGACATATCTCACACAGGAACCTCCCAACCATGCTTTGTTCTCATGATTGTGCCCATTTTGGTCGTGGGTCACCATTCCTGGTTCTGCAAGAGTTTGTGAAGAATTGTGCCCGTCAATTCTCCTTTGAAGCGACCCTCACTTCTCTCTCACATAGGTGATTCTTTCCCGAGTATCCCGCATACTCACATATGTCAACCGACATTCGAATCACTAAAGCATTTAACATGCTAACCTTGTGCGGGAGCCACTGTTTCTAACGAGGAGTGGTAGGGAATCCGAGACCCCCATAGTGACACGCTCCGTTCCATAATTTAGTTGTCCCATTGAACCTAGGTGCCAGCTAGGTTGGGTGTCCACTATAGAACTTTATACCAAGGGCTTTAGACCCATTCCTCGTCTCAACTTCTCCACAGCTACTCTACATAACCCTTTGGTTAGCGGATCCGCTATATTGTCTTCTGACTTTACGTAGTCAATCGAGACAACACCAGTTGTGAGAAGTTGTCTAATGGTATTATGTCTACGACGCACATGTCTAGACTTACCATTATACATATGATTCTGTACTCGTCCAATTGCAGCTTGACTATCGCAATGCACACACATTGGAGGTACAGGTCTTTCCCAATTAGGAATATCCTCTAAAAAATGGCGTAGCCATTCAGCCTCTTCACAACATTTGTCCAAGGCTATCAGCTCAGATTCCATCGTGGATCTAGCTATCACGGTCTGTTTAGAGGATTTCCATGCAACGGCTGCATCGGCTAGTGTAAACACGTAGCCACTCGTGGACTTGGAGTCCTTAATATCGGATATCCAGCTAGCATCGCTATACCCTTCAAGTACAGCAGGATATCTCCCATAGTGCAGTCCAAGGTCTCGAGTATACCTTAAGTATTTCAGAACCTTCACTATTGCCGTCCAGTGCATGGCACCGGGGTTACTCGTATATCTAATGAGTTTACTAACCGCAAAGGCAATATCCGGCCTAGTACAGCTCATTAGATACATCAAACTACCAATAACCCGAGCATATTCTACTTGAGAAATACACTCCCCGTGGTTCTTGGTTAGATGAACGTTTCGATCTAATGGCGTCCTAGTCCCTTGATGATTATCCTTGTTGAATTTTTCAAGGATTTTATCAATATAATGTGATTGGCTTAACACCAGACCATCAGGTCTTCTAATGATTCTAATCCCGAGGATTAAATCAGCCAAACCCATATCCTTCATGTCAAATCTGGCATTTAACATGTTTTTGGTAGACTTGATCATTCGATCGTTACTACCCACGATGAGCATGTCATCTACGTATAAACAAAGAATGACATAGCCGTCTATCGTTTCCTTAACGTAGACACATTTGTCACTTTCGTTTATTTTGAATCCATTAGTCAACATCGCAGGGTCAAACTTCTCGTGCCATTGCTTAGGCGCTTGTTTTAAACCATATAGCGATTTAACCAGCTTACACACTTTCCTTTCTTGGCCCGGAACCACGAACCCTTCGGGTTG